GACATCACCGGTGATCAGCTGTGCTTTGTACGCCGATGACATCACCGGTGATCGGCTGTGCTTTGTACGCCGATGACATCATCAGTTTTCCGCAGCGCGGCATTCCCAGGTGACGGAATGCTGCTGCAGCGGAGCATTGACTATCTGGAAGCTTGGCCGACGGGACTAACGCCGACAGGTGGGGACTAACGCCGACAGGTGGGGACTAACGCCGACAGGTGGGGACTAACGCCGACAGGTGGGGACTAACGCCGACGGGTGGGGACTAGCGCCGACAGGTTGACACTAACGCCGACAGGTGGGGACTAACGCCGACAGGTGGGGACTAACGCCGACAGGTGGGGACTAACGCCGACAGGTGGGGACTAACGCCGACAGGTGGGGACTAACGCCAGATCCCATCAAATGTAAAGCGTTTACTATGACCCTCATGGTCATAGTTACAGCGCCAAATGTGCTGACCTTATAACTCTACTGAGAACCCGTTCTGAGGCCAGCAGACGGCAGACGTCTTCGACCGCCAGCAGAAATGCTGAAATCCCAAGTGGTCTGAACTTTGGTCAGCACTTTCCTGCGTTCCGTAGCCAAGTAAAGCGGTCCGTATTGGTCCGCCGGTGATGACGGCTAGTAAACTTTAGCGAAGCGTTTACGGTATGCGTTTCAGTTCTCTCATTAAATGCATGTTTGCAATATTTTATGTAACCGACGTGCTTATTGTGAGACGACGTGCATCTGCAGTGAAGCATTTAGGCATTTGGAGAATTGACCTTGGACATTGCGTTTGCGCATTGAAAAACAGCATTGTTTTGTAATCGTACGCTTGGCAGGCTTTCATCGCATGGTATGTCAAATGCTCATGGTCTGATACGTAGGTCAGTGGTCTGATACGTAGGTCAGTGGTCTGATACGTAGGTCAGTGGTCTGATACGTAGGTCAGTGGTCTGATACGTAGGTCAGTGGTGTAGCCAGGATTTCGCGCCGGAAGTGCCACATTGAATCATAGACAAAGGCCCTTTCAGACATAGGGATGCCCTTTATGGCTTAATAGGGCCTCCTTAGGGCCTTAGTGCCTGTCTCTTTACATTGGGCCTGTTTTAACTCGGCTGCATTTTTAGGTTCGGAATTTTATTTTCATATCTCAGGCGTCTTTTTGAGACATCTTCTGTTTTACAAGCCTTACAGATGTCTTAACTCTTATCCCTGAGCTGATAAAGGGTGTTGCACGGTTGGTGCGACCCCTTTAAGTCTTTTAAGGACGCTTCTCCGGTATGCCGTGCCATTACGCTCACATTTTCAGTAGCCTGTAGGGCATCCATTGCATTTGTTTTTTATAATAAAAACGCGTCCCAAGCGTTTCAGCGACGGTTTTTGAAGAACAGTGCACGGCGATCTGCGGTCCGCGGGATTGACGGAGAGCAACCGATGATACCGCGGAACGCGCGCAGTGGGCCAACATTGGTAAATTAACGGAGCCATGGGTCATAAATGTATGGTCAGGACACATCAAAGTGTATACCTACCATTGTACTCAGAAGTAAAGAAAAAGCATGCCTGTTTTAGGGTTGCTGTAGCTACAAGTCATGGTCGCGTACATATGAACCTGTAACCTTAAAAACTTTTATTTTCGGAACAAAATTGGCTTTTGACATAATGGGGGTAAATCTGACGTAATGGGGGTAAATTGTGAGCCCAACAACATCAAACCTTTTACAAATCGCGAGATCTCCTTGAGACCAATTCACATGTATTTTCCGCTAAGCTCTGTCTTTTTTAGTTTGGAAGAAGCATCGGTGATTGCATCGACCCCCCACCCCTTCCCTATCAGTTCACGTTATATAAAACGGCGGATCAGGAGGAGGGTAAAGGTGCCAAAAAGTTCTGAGTTATTTAGCCCCAGGGGCCACTGTCAACTCCAGGGAAGGAGGCATGACTCCAAAAGCTCCCCTTGCTTAGGCCACTAACGTAGCTGTGGTTTTACACGTGCTTGGAAGGGCGGGATCAATTTGACCCCCTCAAGGTTTTTACAAAATGATTCTCGAATGGCGCGGCTACGCCTCGCCGTTCAAAGTCAATGGCAGCGTGGCCACAGCAAACTTTGTACACCTGTAGGCAATTGAACAGCGAATGTTTTCGATACAAGTATCAGATATAGGTACTTCATAAGTTTGCTGACATGTGACAGGTCAAAGTCAGGCTGTGACTGTCAGCGAAACCAATGTCTAGACAATTGTTTGATGTGATGCAAGAACAACTGATCATTTCCATTGACCTTGGGTAAGATATGAAGGTCAAGCTGAGGTCAAAACCAACCTGTTTTTTACTCGAGAGCTTGTTGTATGGGGTTAGTTTCTGGTGCCCATTTCGAATTTATTAATTACAGACCACAATATATATTTTCCATGAGCTTGTTTAATGTCAGAGTAGCTCATCGACCTTAAATGACTCAGGTCTACATTTTTTTAGAAACGTACCGCCTAGTGTAATCATTGCCGCTGATTCAAAGTGCAAAAATCATAACAATCTCGTAGAATTTTGATCACCATGACTTTAAAAATGTCAAACAAGTTCGCTGATCTTAAAGGAACGTCAGTGAAGTTTTTGTAAGAATAGGTGTCTAGGTTCAAGGCGATTGCGTGAGGAGGTATGCGGACACTGGACAACATTCTTGAGTTTGACCGTGTTTGACCTTATGTTACCCGAATGTCATGACCTAGGAAACTCAAGTTCTGATACAAGTCAGTTCACATGCAGGTTGACCCACCCTGTGAATAAGGTGTCTCTAGCCCTCAAAGTTTTTATATCCTGTGGAGGTCAAATTGATCCCCTAAACGAAGGGATGCAACCGGCCACCCGGGTGCGTGTTAAGATATAATCTTCGTGCAAGGCCACATCAAAAGGACCATGGCAAACGCCGTGCAATTTTTGAGTTGCCAAGGCGAGTGACACCTTTGCGGTGACACTCGATACCTAGTGATTGAGTTGTAAACAGGATTTTAGCTGCACGAGCCTTTATGAACAATAATCGGCATCTCTTGACATCTCTTGGTCTTTGCTTACATTGTCTTCACGAAGTCCACAGAAAGCGAGACGTCAAGTGGACTTAAAACCAGAGGATTGGATTGACCCTATGAATATTTGAATGGCTTAACTCGGTTATGTTTTGCTGAGCCGAATCCGATTGAAAAGCGACGGCTTTGAGTCACACAAAGACAAGGGACGATGAATCACAAACGCACTACTGTAGGTGATAGCGTGACTAACCATGTATTAAGACATGTCTATTCGTTATTTTGAACGACAGCATGCGGTATAAATGCAAGTCCGTGTGCAAATATTGTGACCGCAGAAGCCATCATATGGGCACGTGAACAACCTCATTTCTTTTGTCCCACATTCACAGTCCAAACAAAAAAAATCGAAATCTGAATTTCGAATGAAGAAAAGAAACGGTCGAATGGAGGGCGGGAGTTGCCAGGAACCTGATCATTGATATTTTACGAATGATGTGTTGCTTTTCAGCATCATTATCTTTGCCAACTATGCAACATATTTTTGGTGAGCTAGCATTTAGATTCATAATTGGGAGACCACAGAAATGTAAAAAATATGTGAGAAATGTAATGCAAAATAATTTTGCATAGCTTTATACTGCAAAATAACTTCCCCTTTATTTACATGCCCGTATTTTTCTGATCAGTCGGGTTTTGAGTAAGCTATCAAGCATGCTCATTCATCAGCAATATTAGACGTTATCGCAAATCATACCTAAGGCATAAACTCAGCGCGCAGAAGTGCCAAAATATCAAATTCGCGGGAAATGTGGAAACATGTTTGCCTTTTGACTGATATCAGAAAGGCCCCCCCCCCCAAAAAAAAACGGAAAGGCACTGACCATTAAAACCATGGAGTCGCTTTTATATCGCCGCACCGGTATTACAGAATGCTGTGTGTCGTACGCCCAGCAGCTGTGGGCACAGTGGTACGTCTATTTGCACCTCCAATTATTACGCGAAAGAATACGTTCCCCAGTTTGATGTCAATTGCCACAGTTGTGTGACCACTACGAGCACTAGAGAGTCTTAAGTTTGGAATCAAAATGTTGCGTAATTTTATCGCACGAACTGTAGTGATCATGGTCACATCACCAATGTCAGCTTAACGATTGTCGTGTGAGATAAGCCAAGCTGATTGGTCGTCGTTCAAGCTTCTCTGGTCCGGAGAATATATCCCTAAATGGCAGGGGTCGCTTTTGATCTCAGGCGGTCGCTGTTGTCGAAATACCCAAGACGGTGCCAGGTTACGTGGCCATATTTCCCACACGCTGCATAGTTATTCAAGTTGGCATTGCCAAGCACGGTTGGACGACTCATTAGACCCTGCAGCGCCAGTTCAAGGGTGCTCGTACCGTTTACGCTCCCGTGCTGAGCCGCCTGATACGCTGGCCGATGGTGACTTGCAGCCAGCCATTGCCGTTGCCTGTCCGACTCACAAGCGGCGGTAACGAGGCATCGCAACCCACCGCATCGTAACCGTGGTGACGCCACCGCCCTGAGCGCCCTCAGATTTGTTGTTGTCTCCATTCTCCAAACAATTACCGAGCGCTGATGCTGTGCAGTCTTCAGGAGAGCAGATTCGCTCGCCAAACAACCATGTCATTACTTTCTATTGCAAAACCATCCGGGAGCATTAGCGTTGTCCGTGGTCCACTTCTCACGCTCCCATCGACGCCGACCAATCAGCGGGCGGCAACCTCCGGCGCGGGCGGCCGGCGACCAATCAGCGCGCGACTCTAGCAACAGGTACCGCCCCATAAACCCATCAAATCCTCCTCTATTCATGTGGTGAGGCGGCGCGGCCGGCCGGCTCGCGCCTCCATAATCGTCCGGGGGCTAGCGCGGCGCGCGGTCGGCCTGTTCGCTGACGAGGTGCGTTCCCTGCCGGCTACGGAGAGGTCGGAGCGCGGTGGCGGCGGCGGCAGCGCGGCACCCTGTCGACCGCAGGCGACGCGGACCCGGACGCTTGGGCGGCGGAGCGCGGCGCGCTGCACAGCATGCTCGAGTTTAGTCCGCCGGCGGTGAGCACGTCCGCCTCGATGCTCTCCTTCTTCAACATGGACCCGTCGCAGCAGGGCGCCTTCATGTTGGGCAGTCCGCCGCTGGCGGCGCTGCATTCGATGACGGAGATGAAGCAGGCGATGCTGCAGTACAACAAGACGGCTGGCGCGGGCGGCGGCGTTGGCGGCGGAGTCGGCGGCGGCGGCGGCGGCGGCGGTGGCGGCGGCGGCAGCGTGACGCCCACCAGCAGCGGCGCCGGCTCGCCGGTGGCCTCGGTCATCCCGCACGGCATCGACAGCATCCTGAACCGGCCG